ACCACTAGCCCACACTGCCTCCCTCTCTCTCCCCCAGTGCCTCAGCTCTAACCACTAGCCCACACTGCCTCAGCTCCGAGCTCTGCTGGTCTGTTAGAGTAAGACACTCACACGAAGCTGAAGGGACTGTTGGTGATGAGAAAGAGCTTTTTGCCGCTGCTTGCCAGGCGATGAAGGACAGCGTAGGTCTCGTCTCCTCGCAGGATGTACTTTTCTGTTTGCCGGAAGAGAGAGGAGAGGGGGAATTACTACAGGAAGGTCAGGTCAGCACAGACAGCGAGAACAAGGATGAGCCAGAATACCTTCACACTACTGAACAACTAGGTCCCCCTTGTTTACAGGTGAACTGATGCTATGATTACCCCACCCCAGATTCTGAACGTAAAAACCGAGTCTAAAAGGCTTCTCTGGTCCTGCTGTATAAAAAGTATGAAAAACCCAGGATTTCCTTATAGTTTTGCAAGGTGTGACTCATAAACCTCCCCTCAGACAACACAGATTCAGCACTGAAACGCACTCAAGGCTCCATCTGTGCTGCAAGGATAAGATTTACAATAAGAGGGAATTTTTTAAAAAGAGTAATAAATTGACTCCCCCCCCCCCCCCACTTAAAACACTGCCTGGGAGTGTCTGCCGTTGTTTTGTCCACTACAAACTGATTCCCTCTCACGTGGTCTGGAAGTCGGCCCAGACAGTCTCTCCTCCCTCACCCTCACCCCCACCCCGCTCAGTCTTCACCAGGACTGGCAAGCACCAGCACACCCGGCCTCTCTCCCAGCATGCCCTGCTGCGCCGCTCTCCGCGGCTCACCGAAGGCCCCAGAACAAGTCTGGCCAGGTCTTCCACACCCTGAGAAACCCGTCTCAGACGGATCCCTCCTGGCCCGGGCTGAGACAATGGCAGCACAGCTGCGAAAGTGTGCTTATGTAACTTGAAAGTAATTATGTAACTTGTGGGTTGTTTTAACCTTAACGAGATGTGTTCGTATATACTGTTTTAGGTATACTGTATATATTATTGTCAAGTTTTCCGTTTTGCGATTCTCTGTATTTATTTGTGAAAAGAAAAAGTTCTTTAAAATCTAAAGTCGGTTTCCTGAAGGCTGGTTTCCCTAAATCACAGCTTCTGAAATCCCTGGACAAATCCGTGTCGGCTTCCCATTTCCTGCCCTGTGCTGCTTCCTTTCCCCCTGCGGGACAGGCAGGTAGACGCTGAAGATTAGGAGCACAAGGACTGCAGACCTGCTGCTGCTGAGCCCAGACACACACACACAGACACTTCAGCCATCACCTCCTCCCTGTGTCCTCCCCTCCGTCCCACGGGACCCCGAGAGACGTTACGAAGGAGAGGAGGCCGTGTGGCCGACTGACCCAAGGATCTCATCCAGCTTGGCTGGGAGAAGCCAGGGTATCAGCTTCAGCACAGTGTGTGGCTCTTCCCCCTCCTCTCCTTTCCCCTCGCCCTGTCCTGTCCTACGAAGCGTGCCTCGCTCCCCTGCGCAACACCAGCTGTCTCCCCCCTGCACAGGGAGCGTGTGCTGGGCAGGCTACCCACAGCACAAGAACCCGCACAGCACCTCCTCCCTTTCAAAGGCTCCGAGTAAATGATCTGCCTCATGTCTGCTGGGTTTGATCTCTACATGCTGTTCCCACACTTTGTTGATCATAAAACAAAAACGAAGGAGAATAATAAGATGGGAACAGTTCCAAACAAAGAGGCCGTTTGACCCATCAGCCCATTTCATAGTTAGGAGTTAATTAATCGGAGCATCTCGCCCAGCTGCTTCTTGAAAGAATCCAGGGTTACTGCAATACACGATTGGGCAGAAAGGCCAGCACGGCTGCATATAAACTGCATCTCCTACCTAAACAATTCATTTCTTCTAGGTAATTCAGTGCTTCTACATACATACCATGCTGCGTGGTGCTGTACTGGATCTACATTTGACGAAGCCATTAGCAGTTTTGAACAGACATTTCTAACTGAAACCGCCCGAACAGCAAACTTGGGAATTGGGACATGACTGCTCTTCCCACTGCAGGGGGCACTGGTCCTGCTGAACCGAGCCTCTCTGCCCGTTCCTTACCAACCCCTGTGCTATGAGCTCGGCGATACATGACTTCTTCTGACTCTGGACAAACAAGTTCCACTGGACCCAGCAAAATGCCCAGCTGTGCAAATGGGCACAGATGAAGGAGCACCCTCCCTCCCTCACCTGGAATATAAACCATCTCACTGCGCTCCCTCCCTGCGCTGACTCAGCTAAGCCTGAGGATGAGGAGTCACAGGGACTGTACCAGGACTGACACACATGTGCCTCCTGCCAGCTGGAACAGGCGCCATTCCTCTTGCTTTGCAAATCTCAAGGGAGGAGGAGTTCGGTCATGCTCACCCAAATCCTGCATGATCCACTTGTACATGTAGCCTTTGATGTGCACCATCCCAATGGCCTCCTGTGTGGGACAGAGAGGGAGAGAGGTCAGAGACAGCGGTGGCAGACTCAGACAAGCCCAGACACGCTGCTCGTAGCTGCTCTTGCTCTTATTCGAGGTTTGAGAGACAAAACTTAACAGCTGCCGCCACTGAAAAAGTTAAGCACGTTTCTGGAGCTGGAGAAAGTCGGATAATTGACTTGCGGGATGTGGCTGCTGGCGTTTTCTCCTGCATTAGCCTCACACGTTTGCAACAACTCCACCCCAGCCTCTAGACACAGCAGTGTTAATAAAGGTTTAAACTGTACATCCAAATTATTAGCCACCCGAGAGACACAGACCATTTAGCTCTCCTATCGGGAACGAACAGTGAATTTAAAAAGCTGGTGTACTGTCCCTGAGCAGCACAGCTCTGTCTGGACCGCAGCTCCATTAGCAGATGGACTGTATGCGACTCCAGGACAGGACAGAGGTGCTACTGCTGATGGTGGACTGGAAATAACTGCAGAAAGGAATCGCTGAATCACCGCTGCGATGCACGCAGCTAGGTCAAACAAGACTCAAGAGACTGAAACCCCGAGCGCACGATGCGCTGATACAGTACTGTAAAGAGGCAGTCAGACACAGAGGGTGTGGGTTTCGGAGAATGCCAGGAAGAGGCAGGCATGCAGGCAGAGAGAGGCTGAAACAGGAAAACACTGAATTCTAGATCTTCTCTCCCCTGGGACAGACTGCACTACTCTTCCTGCCTTCTCCAACATGTACAGTCGTTTGGGGGGAAAAGATGACCCACAGGACACCGGTGAGCTCGTTTCAGAAGCATGAGGGATACGACACTGTTGGGGCAGACGCTTCGAAGGGACTTTTGCCCTCTTGCCTTATACAGTGAAAGATCAGTCCTCAGCCAGATTTCACACGGGCGTCTCTTGGCAAGGAACAACGACTTGCTGCTCATTCACCGATCAGCTTCCAGAAACTAAAACTGTGCAGCAATATTTTTTATAATTTAAGCCATTTCAATAAATAAACAATAACAGGCTTTGTAAGACACAGGGCAAGATTATCCCCTTGGCCAGGTCATCTTGCACTCCACGGTAGATACCCCACCTGCGCAAGTTTTCACACTCACAATAACAAGACAAAACACCTCCAGAGGAAAAAAAAAAACTTTCTTTCAACTGAAAACAGGGTTCATGACCTGGGAGTAAATCATCAGAAACAGCAGAAGCAGGGATCAAACCCGAATGCAGGATAAAGCCTCTGGGCTGCAGGTAAGCAAGAGAATCTGATTTAAAGGGGCTCGTGGTCTGTGCAAGAGGGGATGGAGCTGCGTGCAGCCCCCCCAGCATGCAGAAACCCGAGCCCGTGTGCCCAACACCCCCTGTGGCTTTCAGAGCACAAGAGGTCCTCAGTCACCGAGAGGGAACAGGCTGTACCAGCAACACGGAAACCACACTGGCAGGGAGGCGGGGGAGAGAGACCAGGGGTCGGGCTGCCTGGGGATCAGGGTGAAAGTGTACGTTTGAGGAACTCCAAAAAGCACAGTGTGGGCGCCGCTCGAGTGTTAATTACACATGGAGGTTTCCGACACGCCTGAGCGGCAGGCGCATACTGCAAGAACAAAAACAAAACGTGCAAAACATGTGCTTCTGTGTTCTCGGGCTCTGAAGAGAAATTCCAGCACGTCTGCTCCCGATGATGGGGGAGCTCACAGTGCTGAACGACGGGGCCTCAAAACAGGTCTGATCTTCGCAAAATACACACTGCAGGGGTTTCAGCACTGCTGGGGGATCGTATGTCGATCCTTCCGAACACACTAACAAAAACAGCAGAACTATTTCAAAAACACTGAAAATCAGCACAACCCCAAGAACTGTAAAACGGACCGTGTTTTTCACAGCACCTCCACTCCCGACCACAGTAAAGATCTGAGAGGTCCCCGTCAGGCCCTGCATGGTGGGGTTGGACTTGTGTTAGCGTCTCTCTCTCTCTTGTGAGACGCACCAGTCACTGGACTGGTCAGAGAGACCGGCAACAGCACAACAGTCACAAAATCTTCTCCAGATTCAGTGCCTCGTAGAAATGCACGACTGTGACGCACACGACTTCCGAAGAACTAAACAAAATCACGCTTCAAAACAACTCTCTCCTGCGCGGCCTTCATCAGCTGCACGGTGGTGAAAAACCCCCACAGCACTTAAAGAGGTACAGACGCATGTACTCGAACTTTAGTTTCGACACCCGGCGCACAAGCCACAGGAACGCCTGCCCGCGCGGGCGCTGACGTTTCAGCGGGAGGAAGGAAGTGGCAAGCTCGGCACACCGAGATCCGAGGGGCTGCAGGATGACGGCAGCTGGGTGCCCTTTCACCTAGATCTGAGCGCAGCAAGGAGCCCGTCTGTGCTGCTCTGGCATAGCTGGAATTCCTGCACTCAGGAGGATTAGGAGCAGCAAGAAAGAACAGTAGTCTCAGCTCCTGTGACTTACTTGGCTCGGTTGGGTCAAAGCAAAAAAAAAATGAAAACAAAAAAACACTGAAGCCGACAAAGGGATTTGTGCTCTCCAGCCTGGCAGTTGTTTACTGGAGAAATGAACTGCAGCCTGGCCTCAAGAGAAGAGTGAACGAGCACAGTGGTCTGAATCGCTCCCAAGCCAAGGGAGAGGAGGCCTAAGAGAAACGGTCTGCGTCAGATCACTGCAGTCCAGACCACTTCGAGTTTCACTTCCCTTCAGAGCTTTTCAGCTCAGCTGAAGCATCTCCAGCTCTTTTTTTAACCCTCTGTCCACAACCTAAAGAGTGACTGGATTCCCACTAAGTGTTGTGGCAAAGCAAATCTCAACCCAGAAGCGTGCTGGGGTCACACACAGAGCTCACACCAGTCCACCGCAGTAACGCGTACACGTGCGACCGCACACACACACACACTAGTTAACCGCGTCAGCGTGGCTTTGGAAAGAGAAGGAAACCTGAGCGCACAGTAAAAATCACGAGTGAACATGCAAAGTGTGTGCAGAATCGAGGTCAGAATCAAACCTAGAGCTGCAGAGCTGTGATTACACTGACCGGCCCCGGCAGGAGCAGGACTGGACAGCCCTGCTGCAGACTCACTGACCGGCCCC